TTGATAATATATGTAGTTTTTAGCAAGTGTAACTGAAACTGTAATACTTGATTATAGTAAGAATATAAATAACTATATAGTATACATGTATAGGTACAAGACGTAGGTATCTTACTCCAATAAAAACTCCTACGTAATTATCCAGAAATATACAAAAAAAAAAAAAAAAAAAAATAAATAATAAATAAGTAAATAATAGCAGAATTTACATATTAGTTATTACAAAACGTCAAGATATTTAATCAGAATTATTTTAAGTCAAATGTAAAAGAGTATGCATTTACATAAAAATCCTGGCCTTATTTATAACCAATATAAGACATCACGCCATTTCGTTTTAGATGGATACCTATATTACATAGTAGATCGAGTATTGCTGAATTAATATTTTTAGAGGAAAACATTAAGGATTTAGAAAGATCTCAAAAAGTAAACGCTAAAACTAAAAGTGAAGAAAACCTCATTTCATTTACTATAAAAAAAAAAATTTGGTCCGCTATTAACCGCGGCCCAGATAAAATTCATATGTGGGACGGCCATTTGGTGTCCTCTGTAGTAAACGATCAAAAACAAATATTATAAAAAAGTAATAGTAAAATGTTAAATATTAACTAGATAGGTACCATGATTGGAATGATTTCTATAGTACCATATAGTGTGCCTAAGCGTATCTAGGGCTTAATAATTTACATAAACCGTTCAAATATAATAAAATATATATATGTGCGGTGAAAAATTTCTATACGTGTGTAATAATTTATTTTTTTGTGTGAACACTGCGCAGTCATAATACATGATTTATATGCTTATAAGTTATATTATATTCCTTAACATAGTTACACCTCATATACTATTTTATACGTATTATTATAAAATTATAATAAAAATAAGTTCTTACATATAATTTATATATAAATATATAGAACAAGACGTATTGATTTTCTATCGATTTATTATACGTTCCATCGTTTGACCATAATTTATCGCAAAGATGGTTCGATTAAGTATTTACTATTTTCACTCATGGCAGCCCTCCGATAACCTATGTTATAATATATTACGCATTATTATAATATTTCCCAGCAATGGCATTCTCGATGTTTTTTTATACATAATGCAATATTTCATTGTGTGAAGGTACGGTTACCCATCTATAACTTATTATGATTTTCGGTCGCGCACCTTACGTCGTCGAGTCATTGCCCGACCGTTGCAGCGGTGTAATAATAATAATAATAATAATAATAGTATGAATAAGTGCATTCAGCGGATTGTCGGAATAATAATACAGCGATATATTGTATAGCTATTTGTATTATTATTATTATTATTATTGTATATAGGAGGCACGCACGTATAATCGCGATATTCGAGGCGTGGAAAATATACGTAAAGATCCCGATTTACGTGAGGTACACAGCGGTCCAAGTATAGACGCAGGATGGGTCATATCATATATATATATATGTAGCTTATACTATTATCGTGTTACAGCATACCTGCACATATTATAATATTATTATTATTGTTGTACGACATCGACGGCGCTGGAACGTCATCTGGGTCTGCCGCCCGCGCCAAGTGGGAGATTGAATATCATATTTTTTGTTTTGCGCCGTGTATTTATTTGTTTTTATTTTTACCGAGTGAAAGCTGTAGCGACGGCGGCGGTTTATTAATTGTGACCGCCTTCTTGGAGTTATCGCACAATGCGGCGGCGGTGGCGTGCGGTATAATATGAAACACGTCGTGTCGTCTGCGGCATGCGCGCACACCAATGAAAACCGGAATTATTGTTGTTTTCGGTGCAAAAACGACAATATAAAAATAATATGTACAATATTAATATTAGTATAATATAGTATTACTAGAATGTTATACAATTATTGCGCAATGTAACCTACCTATTTACAGGCTATTTGTTTTCCGCAATTAATATTTCACGTTTGTTCTGCGTTTGCCGATTCGCCCACGCGGGCGTGTTGTAGGTTGGCATAATGCTCAATATGTGGCCCGGAGACAAATTTTCGTTTGGTACTATTATCTATTCTTCGATCCACAGTATGGCGGACATCTGGACGGTTTGAGTATGTACGAGAAAATTCGAGTTCTTTGAAGAATAAATTATCGTCAGACTTCAACTGTAATAGTATATATACAGTACTGGGGTTGGAAATTTAATGATTCAAAGATTTTGTCGGTTCTTCTGAAAAATTACGAACACTCATACTATGGACGATAAATCAGATCCGCGATTTTCAAAAAGTTTCTGTTTATTTAAGATAAAGTTTCTGTAGTCTTTGGCACTCGACTGCACCTACGCGAATTCATTATGTTCGAGTAAAGTAAATTGAGAATTATTCATACTTAATTTTACAAATGCTACTTACAGATCGGTTAATAAGTTATAAGTACTTATAACAACATTTCAAAAAGACGTTAATTTTTAGAAATTATAGGTTTGTAATGTTTATTTTTGTACTATGAATTGACATATATTAATTTTTTCTGACAAACATAAAATGCTATAATGTCATACCTACATACGCAGTCACCGAATCCACAGGTTAGTGTACGAAATAATTTATAATATCCAGTTATAACTACTTATACACAGTATATACAATATTTCTATAGTATCATACATAATATAGGTACATCATGTGAGGTCACGATTTATAGGTATAATATACGTAATATGGGTACTCGACATCGTAGTGGTCATACATAAGTGCGTCTATTCAAAACGTATACTGGAACGTGTTTCATAAAAAAAGGAGTATTTTACCATTTGTGGGTTTAAAGAAAAAAAAAATCACATATTTTGTAAATAGGTTTACGTGTATATCACAATATAATATGTTCATATTATTAATAATGTTACATTTTATGTATAACGTGAAACGCAAGGAAAAGAAACACGCCTCGTCAATTTAATTGAAAATTAATATAATATTTGTACTGACGTACTTGCAATGTCTCCAAATACAAACGGAATACGTATTACTATATACAAGATGTTGTACCTGTCTGGCTTATTTATGTTTATATAAACGTATATGTTATTAATTCGAGTATACGCATGGTGGCGTATAGAATATACCGAATGAACCACGACATTTTAGAAATATCTATTTCGAATCTGTATAATGATATTCTCGAAAAATATGTTGTGCAACTATATAACAAACTGATTTTTTTTTTCATTTAAATTTAAAAATTGCACACAGATACGCACAGCAATGAATAGTGATTCAAAAATCATATCTGAAACATGTGGAATTCAAATCTTGTCTATTGTTATTTTATAAAAAAAAAAAACAAATATTTTTGATGCAAATCACATAATATAATGTACATAGGTATTAGATAATAGTGAGATAAGTCCACTAACTTAATTACTATATAAAGAAAGATGTAAAACTTGAATACAAAATAATTGTTTCCAACAGGAAACGCCACTTAAATGTACAACCTTGATAAGAATTCAATATTTGCTATTTATTACGATTCTTAAATGCCGAAAAAAAATCATATTTCATATTGCATGCTGTATAATTTTATACTTTAATATTATATTATATCGGTCAAAATAATTAACTACTCTACCTGCAGTTTATCATTATTAGTAAACCTACAATCGTATAATTATTCTGATTTTTTTCATCGTACGGTTTGATGATTTTGTTTATTTTGTCAGACATCTTTTATGATCGAGAACAATAGTAATTTTCAAGTTAATTTATATTGTATTCGCAAATAATTGAAGGATAATATATATATTATAATTTTTAAGCAGTTTAATACAACCTTAAGGGTAGCTTTTAATAATAGTACTGTACAACAGTACAACTACAACTTATGTACGTTAGTGCGATTAGTAAACGATAACACTTTCCAAACTAATGTATTTACAATTTATTCTTACTACTTGTGCACTAATGCACTGCGGACTGCGGTACTACATGTACGTGGTATTATAAAACGTTATTTCATCGATTTTAGTTTTGTTTCCACAGACCTGTTTACCGATCGAGATATAAAAGTAGAAAAATGGGTTCTTCATTTTCGTAAACGTATAATATAAAAACAGTATACTGAGTTGTGTTATCGACTTTTTAACTTTCTTCATACATTTTTCCATACTTGTTAAAGTTTTTATCTATTTTCACATGTTTATTAAATCAAGTTTCGTTAAGATTCAAATACTGTAAATATTTTATACTTGAAAAATAAGTTCTTAAAATAATATAATTCTAAAATAATATAATAATATTATTTTTCTAAGTTTAACACATATGTACTTGCAATTTATACACATATGTAAATAAGTATTAGGTATATTTTTTAATATAATGTATAAAAATCATCAAAAAACCTATATTACATTCAAATGCATTAATATTGAAAATTGGTAACATTCCTATTTAGTATTATACAATAAAATAACAAAAATTAAAATACCACGGTTTTATATTACATAGTACCTATTGAGAATAATATTCAAATTTATTTTATAAATTCAATTTCACTTATTGGTTTTCGAAATGTTCTTAGAAAAAAAAATCAAATTTATACAACACGTCGTGTAATATCATTATCAACAGCCTATGGATATGTCTATTGTTTGTTTTTATTATATATCGCGTTATTCTTACCTTGTGCCTAAATTTCACTCAGAAGTTGAAAACTATTGTACAAAACTATATGGGCGATTGAAAAAATTATCTTATTTGCAATAAAGTAATAACTCATATGTATAATAATATGAGACATTTTTAAATTTGTTTTTGAATATTAGGTGTCTTTAGGAAATTGCTATTATGAAATTGATTGATAATAAATTAAATCACATTATATTTATTATTTGTAGAGTATTTTTCGTTTTATTAAAACAAATTATTATGAAAATAACATAATAATTTATCTTATTAAATATTTCGTTGAAAAAGTTTTAGAATGAAATGTATACTTATGGATTGTTTTTTTTTTTGTTTCAGTTCTTGCAGTTTCTCGAATAATAGGATGTAATTCAAAGACCGTCAACCAGGTATTTATATTGTTTATATTCATTACATGCATTATTTTGAAATATATCTATATTGATGTTTGAAGACATTATTCTTAAATTATTAATACGCATATGACTATATGAGTAAATAGTATTACATAAACGTTATACACAATTCCACTTTTATACATGTAGGTAAAATGATTTCGATTACATTTTTTTTTTTTTTAATTTGATCAAGTACGTCGTCTGTTCGGCTATTACCAAATATTAGTTTATGGTTTCTTATTATGATAGAATATATCGTATTATGATAATAAATAAACGAATATAATAATATCAGTGGTTATTTAATATTTTTATTTTTCCTGGAATCGTTGACATTCATCAGTTATCTGAACTCATCAAAGAATTAAATTTTACCATAAAATTGTTTAAGTTTTTGGGTTTGGTCCAAGGCTTTCTCTTGCAGGTTTATGTATTAGATATATTGTATGTTAAGCGTCACAGCGTACAATCTGCATTCCATTTCAGTTTAAGTGTTCGATTGTATGAATCGCATTGTAGCAACATGTGATGCTGGAGGTTTTTATTTCGGTCATTGTTGTTGTTTTTGTTAATATTCGAATTAATATCATAGATTTTTAGCTATACAAGACATTCTATAACACAGGTTAAAATTAATACTTTTTCTATTTTTGACGAATTTTACTTTTTACCGTATTCAAACTTAATGAAAATATTATAGTCAAAAAATCCATGTGTATATAATTATATATATATATGTATCATGTACATAATTACGTATTTTATATAGTTAGAGATTATGAAAACAATACAATTAAAAATGACATGTAGGTATTTAGTGTGTCAACTGTCAAGGCAAAAGAATTTTACGTAAAAAATAAAAATAAATAATAATAGAGTGTTATATAGCAAACGATAAAAATCTTATTAAGCATTTATTATTAATATTATTAAATATAATGTAAATATACAGAAATTTTTCAGTTTTTTTATTAATTGGAATACACGAAAAAAATGATAAATTGATTATTATGTAATAAATAATATATTGATCGTTCATATTTTTATTTCTATATTTATAGGTAGAAATTTTGACCGCGAGTTCATATTGAGATTGCTTATCATTGTTTTAAATTAATAATAATAAAAACTTTCTAATAATAAACCGTAAAATATGGCCCAATATTTTTATTTAGTTTTAGCTTTAATCATTAGAACACCCTTTGTCTGAATAATGCCAATTTTTTCTGTAAGTCAAAACAATTTTTCAACAAATTTTTTGGCAAACTTTCAAAGTTGCAATACATTTGTAATTTTATATAAGATGTACGTCACTTAAAAAAAAAACTTGAGAAATCATTATTCCATGGTTTATAATCGCCAAGTAGACTTAAATGTAACTTACAAAACTGTCATTTTTTGTATTTATTCAAGTGACTATTTCTATAGAAACAGTTAACTATAGGCCGACTTAATTTACTGTGTATAAAAATATGTTAATCATAGATTTTAAATATGTATCATTAATAATGATTCAAACTATTATTTAATGTGTGTCTATCTTTTTTAATTTACATACATTAAACATATTAATATAATTGCAATGAAACGAACACACACATTACATATTATATGATAGATTTGTTTAAGTTGTATGGAACATAACATACCTACGAGTAGGTAGGTATATCACTATATCAGATAATTTATTTGGAAATAAATTTGTGGAAAACACTTCTCTTTATTCTTTAATCTTTATTTAGGTACATTTTTAAACTGCAGTAACCTACTTATCTTAGACCTCGATTATAAAATGTACGAGGTACATCGCATTAACTTGCAGCAAATACAACCACAACTCACATTCTCCAATTAGAATCTTGTTTTATTTGATTACTCTTCGTATAATCCTATATTATTTAATGTTTCGATTTAAGTATCATCTAAACAAAATGTGCATTATAATAATACAATGGTCAATGAAAAAGTTTCGAAATTGTATTTATTTTGTTTAACATTAAAGAATTAAACATCATCATTGTTATTGTCTTATTGAGAAATAATATATCTCATATGTGAAATTACTACATTACTACAACTAATTATGTAGTTTAAGACCTTTTCTATGATATTTTTTGACATTTTTTTTTCAAACTATCAATATTAACATCAAGACCACATCTAGAAATGTGAAGGTCTTGAATCTTCGATAGAAATTTTAAGTCTTCTAAAAGTAATTTCTTAGCGATTATTATACTTATATACAGCTAATATGTTCCAATAGTCTCGTAACACCTTTGATATTTTTATAGGAAATAAATAAATTTAAATGTATTTTTTTTTTTTAATTAATTAATTAGAATATTATAATTGTATGGAAATAAGTTTCAATTTTTATTTAAAATTTAAAATTTTCAAAAACAATTTTTTATGCAGTTTAGTTTAGATATTATATTTTTAAGATATCCATTTCGTTGAATATATTTCGTACATGGTATATAATCTCAATCAATTGTAAGATTAGAAATCTAAAAACACTACAACATACATTTTTAATCACTATAACTATACAGTTCATTATAATAATGATAACTAGATTAGTGCATGTGGAAGGTCATAAATATAAATATCAAACTTATATTATAAGCAAGGTTCATTAAAATAATGAATACATAAATCTAAATTAAATAATATTATAACAAAAGAATATTTTTTCAACAAGAAATGGGATCGATCGAATGAACGAATGATTAATAATTTAATCATATTACCTGATTCATTATTAAAATTATTCAGTATAGTATAGTTTTGGTAAACAAAAGCTTTTTATTATCTATTGTTTTGAAATAATTAAACATTTTTATGTTAAAAACAATAATAGTAATAACAATTGAACTATAGTAATTAATAACTGCTATTGTTGTAAATATGTAAAGCTTTCTCATAGTTAAAATAATTTTTTCGGAGGATAAAAATGTAAAATATTATACTCATATATCTCGTATAGTTGTGATCTTTAAATATAATAGTCAGCAATTTACCACAAAGTTAAAGAGAATTTAAAATACTTCTAATTATAAAAAAACAGCAAAAATTGCTTTTGTAAACTATACATTTTTCTAAGGGCTTACAGCTGATGAAATGCATGTGATCAGTAAATAAAAAAAAACTTTAAATTTTTTATTTTTTGAAATAAGAGTTAAAAAAATCCAATATTATTTTTGAATTGTTTTGGTTTTGGGACGGGGTAAGCCTCGTTTACACATCCTTTTGTTTACTGTACTTGTGGGCTAAATTTTAGTAGCATGATCAATGGTTTACCATCGAATTTAAATTTAACACACGTTACAATGACGAGTCACACTTGACACCTATGTTGTACAATTGAACGATCGATCACCTATTTCCTCCCTTACTCTCTAACGACTAACGTTACATATTCTTCAGTTGTGTCAGTATAATAATAATGATATCACAAAACGTGTACGACCATGTCTGCATGGCGCAGCACAACAAAACAATTATTGTTAACGGCTGCGAAACATTATTGAAACCATCGATTGTGCACCGGCAGCAAGCCTTCGCGTTACCTACATAATATGATATATATATATATATATATATATTACGAGACAAAAGTCCAAAGTGTATTATTATTGTACAATTACCGTATATTTTTCCGGACGTAAAACGTTTGGGCGTAACAACAACGTGAACGTATTTCCGTTTGGAAACGGTGCATTCGAATAGCGTTGCGTACCGAGAGTTATGTATACGCAGATATCCTATATCCGATGATTATATTGCATCCTATTGGCACTCGTAAACAGCAGGCATCGACGCCGACACGTCCGGGTCCGTCGCGCTAACTACTTGGTCCGGGATTTTTCCATCGGCGCAGACGTGTGAACCGCGAGACGCCGAGACAATATAATAACACCATTATCATTATCATTATTTTCATTATTACACAAGCCAGACAGGAATGGTGTGTATAAAATTATTTTAGTCGCATGCCCGACGATCGCAGAACAATTTGCTGTTATGGTTGTCTATTATCATCGTCTTAGACTCGACCTAACGCGCGAATATGTTATACAAGTTTATGCGTTATTATAATACGTTATTATGGCCGGGTCGTAATTGCCCAGCCGCGGTTATTGCCGTTGCGCAATACCCTCGAAAGGGCTTAATAATTAAATACCTGACGCAGGTATTAGCACACAGGCGCTAATTTTTTATGTGCCTAGTTGAGATTACCAAATGTTATTGTCTATGATATATAATATTTTTTTGTACACGGTAGAATTTTTTTTATTAATGGTTTTCAACGCGTAAACAAATAAACTAACACAATATGGCAATAATTAAACGCACACCGCCGTCTCGTAGGTACCAACAACATGTCCATCAATGCTCACGCACCCGTCTTACATATATCTGACCCGTTGCATACCGTATCTAGGAATAACCAGCGCGGTTGCAAGCCGTACAACTGCGGATAAAATTTCCCAAGTCATTATTTTTTACATGACTAAATATACAGTAGCGAACACGGGTTTTGATTTAGACGTAGATATACACTAACACTATGGATGTGAAATCAATAAAAACATTAAAAGTTATTTTATAATTTGCATTTTTTACTTTCTGAGCAATTAAATGACTAGGCACACTAATGCATTTTAATCGGGTTGTTTCTCAAAATTTTTCATCGAAAAACTTTAATTAATATTTAAATAATAGTATTGTTTATTGAATTAAAAAAAAATGTTTTCATTAATTATTTGCTTACTGATTAAAATTACAACTGCGTATTAAAATATCATACGAGATTACTTTATACACAGATATTTCTATTATTTTTTTAAAATAAAAATACAGATTTTATAGAAATTCCCGGTGATATCCTTCTTCGATGGTTTCATTAATTGGATTTCAAAACCTATTTATGATTACCTAAAGTGCGTACAATAATATTTAAAATGTATGAATAACGTTATTTATTTAGC